AATTGAGCGTGTCTGATCTATTCCTGGGGAACGAGCTGCTCCTTTGCACATAAGTGCCCTTCATCAGCTGGCATGTGTGCTATGATTCATTGTTTGAATTTCTTCTCAGGTTCAGGGTTGGCACCGGAAAGCCACCTCCTGTGGCTTCCTGCTCGTCCCCGTGCTGGAAGGCCCCTTTGCTTTGCCCAGTTACTTGTACGGGGACCCACTTCGAGCTCAGCTCTTCATCCCTCTCAACGTGAGCTGCTTGCTGAAGGAGGGCAGTGAGCATTTGTTTGATGGTAAGAAATGCACTTCCTTTTATCCCTCGGGATACTCTGTGTGAACAGGTCACTGTTGGCATGTAGCTGATGTAATGAAGCTCCTTTACCAGCCAGCCTTAGGAGGCTGAAGGAGCTGTTTTTACAGGTGAGCAGCTGCTCAGGAAGGAGGTGCTGGAGGAAGCCGTGCTGGCAGGCTGATTGTGGGCAGCAGGAAGCACCAACACACGGGAGGGGTGGTCCCCCCAGTGATGCTTACCCTGCACACCCTTACAGAGCCCATATCCAGTAGCTGTTGTGTTTGACACGCTTGTGTGTGTTTTGCTGGTAGACCCACAGCTGCTCTGCATTTGTATCTTGCATTTGTTTATTCTCCCCCTCCCTGGGATTGGGTTTTCACCACTGCCATCCTTCTTTTGTTGTTGCTATGGTTACTTTAATGGTTACAGTGTTTGCACATGAGATTAAGCAGGAGAAACTGCAATCTCCTTTTCTGCAGTGTGACCTGGCCCTTTCCAGTGAGCCTGTTGTGGTAAACCTCAGGTGGAACCCCAAGATATGAGAACTGTTACCATACAGAGAAGGGCAAAGTTGCATCATGAGAAGGGATAATTGGCAAAAGGCTCCATTTTAAAATAGTAAATATGATATTTCCATTAACCCTTGACTCTGTGTCCAGTACAATCAATGTGACAAATCCATATGCTGTGTGGTCACTGTAGCCCAACTGGCTGAATTAAACATTTTCAGAGCTCTCTTGTGATACACAGCAGCCCACTCATCTTCCTTGCTCCCTTCCACACCCTCCTTTATGTTCCTCTCCATCTCAAGAGACACAAGTAATAAATTGAGAGATGAGTCTGCTACTGGAGTGTACAAGACACATCTCTAAGAGACAGCTGACAAAAAAATGTGACTGAAAGAAATGGCTAGGGATAAAAAAAAAAGAGTGCACAGAGGCCTCCTGAGGAAAACTGGAGTCTTGAAGGGAATAAAGTGGCTTTACTAGATAATTGTTACCTTGTTTGTTTCAGGCTTTGAACCAGAAACCTACTGGGATCGAATGCATCTGCTGCAGGAAGCAATAGCACACAGGTATGTCTGCAGTGGAGTGGGGTGCCAAACAGTTCCTGTCTCCCTGGATAATGTGGGATGAAGGCCTGTGCTGAACAGTCGCTCCTGAGTCACTTGGGTTCTGTGCTTTCTGCCTCTCTGAAGTCTGCTTACAGGCTCTTAGACTAAAATACAGCCTCTGTGCCTGGAGTGCTTCTGTGGGTGCAGCTGTGTGGTGTTTCAGCCTGTCACTCCCTGGGAACCATACTCTCCTCCTAGGGAGAGCCTTGCCTTTGGAATTGCCCATTATTCTAAGTTAGAAGCAGAAAGACTGTAAACAGAGCCTTCTTGAGAAGGGACAGCTATTTCCTTCTTGTGAATTTAGCACAGTCTTGAACTGGATGACACCTGATGATTGACAATAGGCAGGGGACTGGGGTGGGAGCTGTACAGAGGTTGGGCCCAATTTAAGACAGAATTGTTGGAAGCTTTGGATACTATCTAGCCTTATCCCTCTGTGTGATTAAGCTGCCAGTTTCTTTCATGGTGTTGCTGCCAGGGTTTTTTTTCATGACAGAGCCTTTTGTTATGGACTTTAGCTTAGAAATCGGCTTTCATTAGTTTAGAAAGCAGAAGAACAAGTATCATACAAACAGCAGAGAACTGCCAGGTAAGCTGCTTGAAGTTCTGCATGGAGCGTAGCATCATGAAAATTATAATGTTGCAGCTTGAAACATGCCCAGGGAAGGTCTGTCTTGACTATTGCTCTTCCTTCCCTCATGTGCAGCTGCCCCATTTGTCAGAGACTGCTTGGAGCCCCTGCTCTTGTTTCCAGCTGGAGTCAGGACAGGGAGCAGTGTGGAGTGACAGGCTTTCACACTGTGTCTGGCAGGGGCAGAGAATATTTGGAGAGGCTCAGCTCTCTTCATCCCTTTTCCTTTTGCCTTCAGGCCGTAAGAAAGGAATAGTGGAAGGATTTCCTCTGGTGCCCCTGCCTTGTTCTGAGGAATCCTACCTGCAGTGGATCTTTTTGTCTTTTTCTTTTCTTTTTTAATTCCCCCTGTCTCTATTTCTTCAGATTTGGATTTGTACAAGATAAATATTCGGCTTCTGCATTCAACTTCCCAGCAGAAAACAAGCCCCAGTATATTCATGTCACAGGTGAGCAATATTTGGGAGGCCCTGTGGCAAGAAGGAGATTATTACAAACAAGAGAACTATTTTACATGTGGTTTGTGTTTCATGTCAGTCATGTTGGTGCTGCTGTCCCTTAACCAGACGACAAGTAGGTGTGTCAGACAACACAAACCAGAAAACTGGAGGGGGCAGTATGAAAAGCACGAAGTGTTGCTGCTAATAAATGGTTTGAAATCTTGCTTTACAGTGGCTCTGAAACTTTTCTTTCCAAAAGATGAGGAAATTTTAAAAACTAAGGCAAAGCTTATTCCAAGGTGAATGTAAATGAATGTGTACCCAGAAGCTAGAAGGAGGGCAAGGTGTTGGGACAAGTCAGTGCTCTGTTCTCATGCTCAAGGTCTGATGTGGATCTATCTCTCTCCATATAGATACATATATCCATATAGATAGTGTGGGAGACAGATCAAGCATTTTGGGTCCACTTGCTGGGATGTGAAAACAATGACAGGAAGGTTTGGAAAACTATAGGAGAGAAATGGAAATTGATGGGAAGCTTGCAAGATGCATCAGAGCCTATATCTTTGCTTCATTCTGTGCTTGTAAGAGAAAGGCAGACAAAGTGCACTCCCTCCTGGTGTTGCAACTACAGGAAGAAGCAGCACCTAAGAGCCGAGGGGGAAAAGTGTATTCATTTTCTCTTGCTAAAAGGCAATTAAATGAAACTCAGGCCAGGATTGTTTCAGAGTTTAAGGGGTCAGCTACCAGCAGTAGGGCCTTAGGTCTGCCTCAGGCTGAAGTGCTGTCTGTTCCCTGCAGGGACAGTGTTTTTGCAGCTGCCATATTCCAAGAGGAAGTTTTCCAGCGGGCAGCAGCGGCGCCGGCGCAACTCCACCAGCTCCAGCAACCAGAACATGTTCTGTGAGGAGCGCATTGGCTACAACTGGGCCTACAACACCATGCTGACCAAAACCTGGCGCTCCAGTGCCACTGGCGACGAGAAGTTCGCAGACCGGCTGCTGAAAGACTTCACAGACTTCTGCTGGAACAAAGACAGCCGGCTTGTTATGTTCTGGACTGATTGTCTGGACAAGATGCATGCTAGTGCTCCGTGAATAGGGTTGTATCTCTTAGGGAGACAGCTAGAAGCTTTACCTTGTGGCAAGGAAGTAGATGTGAAGAGTCTCTCTGTTGGATTCATATTGAGGCTCCAAGAGGACCTGAGAAATATTGCTGTTGATATTCAACAGAATTTGATTAAGTGCTTGGAAAAAAAAAGAATTTAAGCTCTTGGCTTGCCAGTATCTGTCACCTGACCTCAGCTTGGTTTCAAGTAGCTACAGTCCTTGGTTAAAACTTCAGTTAGAGCAGAGGTAAAGGAGGGGAGGCCGCAAATGGTTTTCAAGGGCAGTCGGATTCAGCACAGTGTGATGGTATCAGCTTCTCGTCCCTGGAAATGATAAGTGCCCTTGGCATCTAATGTGCCTGGCAGCAGCCTGCCCCTTCCCCTTCCAAGGTGTGAATTGTGTGAATATGTAAGATAAGATGTGAGAGAAATTTTCATACATGTAAATAAGTAAAATGCAGAAAATTAAGTCACCTGATGTTTTGTTGTAACTCCACAGACAGCAGTACAGGATTGGTGATTAAAAGAAAACAATTGCTGAAAGAAAATACCGCTTTCTATGTTTAGCTCAAAGTTCAGTGCTGGTGCTTTGTCTTGCAATGGTGCAGAATTTTCTGTCTCCATGTCTGGATCACAGCAAGAGCAGGAAGCCAATTACTGTGTCACTGTCTTGCAAGGCCAGCACCGAAACCTAGGGAGAAATCCAGGGCCACTGAACACAAGTTGCTGCTCAGGCTTATGGGCAGGTTTCTAGAATGTGTCTGCGTGCAAGAGGAAGCTGTCTGCTCTCAAGTATGTATCCTTTGCTTTGCAGGGCCTGGGCAGGAGCGGGTTGTTTCAGCTCGGGGTTCGGCTGGGTCACAGCCGGCTCCCCGCCGTGCCGTGCCCGGGGGCTGGCGGCTCCTGCTGCGGGACGCTCGCTCATTGTTACATTGTCCTCGAGAAACCGGGCTCGGGGAGGACTGGCACCTTCACCCTGGCGTTCAGATTGATTCCAGGCAAATCGGAGCCGCTTCAGTGTTTTATCCCCTAAGCTGAGTCAGGATGATTCATCTGATTTTAGACAGCACCCACCTATAGAAGGTGGGTTTGAGCTGTGTGTCTCTTCATTCAGTCGCTCTAAGTGTGTCAAATTATCAGGGCTTGTCTGATCCCCATTAGCGACTTAAAAATACTCTTTACTACGAGAGGAACTCGCTGCCATCTATTCTATCCCATTCTACATCAGTTCTGCGGGCCGGCATTGGCTGCGCTCGGTGGAAGCTGGAGCGAGGTGGGGGTGGAGTGCAGGGGCAGCCCCGCCTGGGCGGCTCCGGGAGCCGCACCTGCCCCGCAGTGTCCCCGCAGTGTCCCCGCAGTGTCCCCGCAGTGTCCCCGCAGTGTCCCCGCAGTGTCCCCGCAGTGCCCTCGCAGTGCCCCCGCAGCCGGCAGCGCTTGGACACTGAGCGATCCCACGGTGAGGACAGGGATGGGGAGAGGGAGCGGGGAGGAGCAGGAGCCTCGCCTCGCTGCGGGAGGACGGGGACGGGGCTGCCGCGTGTTCCTGCTCCTGCACTTCGAGCTCTTTCACAGCTTTTGCCCGGCGGCGCTGGAGCCGGCCCAAGGATGGACTGTCCTGGTGGGGAATGGCCTCGGCAAGTGTTTTACATCTTACGGTAACTGCCCAGGCCTGTCACATGCCAGTTTGGAGAAATTTCACAAAATGATTTTCACCTGAATGTCTCTAGACTTAACGTTATTTGTAGTTTTAACCTGTAAGCAGTGGATGTAAACTCTAGAGTTAGTCTCTGAGTTTTGGGGAAAGCTTAATATGTCTTTCTGAGCTCAGTTTTGTCAACTGCAAATCTGGTGTGTCTTTAGCTTTTCAGGGTTGCTTTAGGCCTAGTTTTATTTTAAGCAGCATGGTGAATTTCTTTCCTTTAAAAAAAAAAAGCATACCATAGAAGCTAAAAATAGGAGATTAAGAGTTTTATCTAACCACAACTTTGTGCATTGCATAGAAAAAGCTTCCAACAGGACATGATGATGAAGCAGTTCATGGCCATGTTAAAGAAGAATGAAAATAATCATCCCCCTTCCACCAAGCTGTTGAATCTAGCAGAACAGCTTTGCCAGGAGCTCCAGAGCTCATCTCCTGATCTGGAGAAGCTGGTTGGAGCTGTGATGGGATGCAAAAGCAAGACATACTTTCTCACTAACATCCACGTTGTCCGGGCTTGTGTGTCTGTTCATATCCATAAAGGGGAACATGATGCAGCCTGCAAACTCCTGAAGGTAGGGCTGTGCTCTTCAGTTCTTCATGGAAACAAAAAGCCATGTTAGAGAAACAGTAGATAGAGCTGTCAGTGCAGAAGTATCTTAACTGCAGCACATGGAGCACTTCCAGCTTGCCTAAGGCAGTGGAAGGGGATAGGTGTGCATTGTGACCTGAAACACAGGACAAAGCCTTTGCTGCAGGCACTTCGTGTTAGTCAGCCAAGGGGAAAAAGCTAACTGGGTGATTATGGGGTTGGTTGTAAAAGGATTTTTGTTCTGCTGTGGTTCTTGGAGTTTTTCACAATCCAAGGGCTCAGGACATAAAAGTGTGGGGAAGCCCAAGATTAGACCTTGGCAGGGTGGGAATACTTGGGGAAGGCTGGATGGTGCCACTCGAAGTGAGGAATTTTAGGCTTCTAGATCTGGTAGTGTTGACCTTTTCACCAGGGGAAAAGAAGTCCCTGTGTACATGAGAGAAGGTACAGCAAGCCATGAGCTTAGATAATGCTATTAGCTCTATCAAACCAGTAGGAATCCCTGAGTAAATTTCTGTTGAGGGTTTTCTCCTTTATACACGGTCTGAGTGACTCTCTGGAAAGGTTTGCTTATGCACAGTTTTGTTTTAGTGTTGCAAGGCAGAAGAGAAGAAAGAGCTGGTGCAACTTTGGCATGAGATTCACTACCAGAGGTTTATGGAGGAACACAAGACACATTTTCTGACACCACTGCAGAAATTCCGCTGCAGGAAGAGGTACTGCATAGTGGGGAATCCAAGATGTTTTTCTCTGTAGTTTTCAGATGCAGGGGCTACAGATGCAGAGGCTGGTTTCACACCTCAAGATGCTGCTTCTTTGAGCTTGGTTTTTCTTGGTATTTTGACCACTTTTGTAATGTGAGGAAATTCCCATGAAGGTGAATTATTCCTTTTGGGTCCTTTTTAACCCCATTTTCTCCTGTGTACAGGAATCCTCCACCCACTTCCCTTTGTCCTGAAGGTTTGAAGACTCGAAACTATTCACAGGAAGTACGCCAGCACCTGCACAGGTTTGCTGCAGAGGTGACAGCAAATCCAAACAAGAAACAGCGGGTAGGGATATGCTAGGGATACTTCCAATCAAGTCTCTTTGTCACAGAAAAGCAGGACACTGTGATCAGGAGTCAATTTCCGGTTTAATTTCTGAATCCTTGTTTTTTTGTTGAAATGAGCCTTGTTGAAGGCTCATTGGGGCTGGAATTCCTCATATTTGATCTTTCCTTGAAAGTTTCTTTAAAAAATAATCAGGTTCATGCTAAGTTATTTCTCTTGCTGTGGATAAAAAGTTGAGGGACAATAAATTCCTCACTGGGTTTTTAACAATTCAAATTTTGTAGTGATTGAGCATAGGTAGCCAAACAGCCATCACTCAGCAGAGCTCTATTACAGTGATAGATAGTTCTGAGTTGACTGAGTAACAGCCTATGTAAAATTGCACTTTGTTCACCAGAGCATATTTTATGCTGACTTTTCAAATGCTGGTAATTTGCTGTGATAACACAATAGGCTGTGTTGGTGTATGCATGGATCTACCTTCTTTGGATATGGACAGGTTTGTAATGGAAGAGATGTGTGAATGAAATTAATAAGCACTGTTGGTCACTACCTTGCCAGGTGAGGGCTTCAGACTTCAGTGTCTGCCTGTGTGAAGCTGTCATTCTGTGGGAGGAGCATGCTTTGGTGAGGGTGTTATCTGGTGGGCAGCATGGGATAGCAGTGGAAAAGAAGCCTTAGCAAACAAATTGTCTGGGAGTGCAGGGTGCAATTTGTGTTTTCTTTCAACTGAGTTTATAAAATCTCCTCAATCAGATGTGCTAGACCTATTGGAGACCTACTGAGTAAATGTCTCTGGCTTTGGAAGGTCTTTTGCTGGACTGCTTTTGGAACTGAAGGGAAATGCCTAATTATTTGGAAGTGATTTTTTTCTTTTCCCCCCTTGATTTCCCCCTGTGCCTGGGTTTGCAGGACAGATTGGCTCAGGACATGAACCTGCAGCCAACTCAGGTCTATAATTGGTTTGCAAATTATCGACGTCGAAAATCCCGCCTCCTTCATGTGAAAGTGTCCAACAATTCATGTCCTGAGAAGGCTTCAGCTCACAAAGAGCCACAGGATAAAGGATCCAACGCTCCACCAACTGCAGGTTTGTCTCTTCCTAATGGGTTCAGGATGTGATCCAGAGAGGTGAATATCAATTTTAAATTCCCTCAGGAACTGGGGAAGGATATTGCTTCTCCAGAACAGCATTATGTGCTGATGGGTGGATGGAAGTGGATGCTGGAGAACTCTGCTTCAGTGGAGTGTCTCACTGTTGGGCTCCAGGCTGTTGCTCCAGAGGAGCAGACACTGCTACAGCCTGTGCAACAACAGGTGAAAGGAGATGCCTGGCTTTAAAGAGGCACCAAATGAAATAGATGGGAAGCAGCAGGTTTTAGCTCTCGGATTCTGGAATCAGGGCAGTGTACTCCAGAAAAACCCAGTATTTCAGTGTCCTTCAACAGACACTTAACCAAACTTCAGTCACAAGGAACATAAGGGTCTTGCTGCATTTGGCAGATTGGGCTTGTTTTGTTGCCTTTTGGAGTAATCATTAGTGGTGTTACACCTGCCTGGCCTGCACCTTACAGATGGATCTCCTGTGGGCATCAGCCCTGAGCAAATGGATATAACCCTCATGCCCTGTGAGCCAGGACAGGAGCAGCCTCCTGAAGGAGAGTATTTAAATATGCTGGAATCCAGGTGATGTATGGCATCTTTACAGTGAAAGTTCATAAATGAAACAACATAAATGTATTTATGGAACTGACTTCCTTGTCAGTTCCATGGGGACATCACTTAGGAGCCTGGCCACCTTTGGTGGAAATGTTCCATGTCAAGTCAGACAATTTATCTCCCAGCTGTGGAGGGCAGGATTCAGAGGTTTAGCTGTGGGGGGGTCTCCTTTTGGCAAAGCAATATGTCTGGCTGATTCATTTTTTCCATCATTGCAGCTGTATGCAGAGCCCTGAGCTGTTGTATGAAGCTGGAACAAGCATGGTTTTGTGCACCACTCACAGCGCTGAACAACCTGTACCTTTTGGCACTGAGGCTGTGATGGAACCACAAACCTGCTCTGGCTCTCCTGTGCTGCTGCCTGGAGAAGCAGTGAGCAGGGCTGCTGCCAGCTTCTGTCAGGAGAGCTTTGTCCTGTGCTCTTATGAGCCCCTTTCCGTTGTGAATTATTGTCTGCCCATGTGGTGGGCCCCTTACAGCACCGGAGGAGTCTTTGGCTCTGTGTGGACCCCAGTTGTAGAAGGTTAGTAAAACTGCACTCAGATTGTTGACCTTAAGACTTTCCAAGCTTCTCTTCCCATTCTGGAAAACACTTGCTCACTTAAGTGTCCTGATGAAGGACAGCAGGGCTTGTTTTGAGTTTTGGAATTCTACTTCTCACTGGTAATTCAGTGAGAAAATCTGTTGATTTAAGGTGTTGACATTCTTACCTATTCTTTTGGCTAAACTGTAACCACTTCCATAAGATAGTGATGGATTCCTTTTAGTATTTCCATTGAGAGAGTTCCTCCAGTTGTCTGCTCTCCTTGTCCTTTTGCAAGCTCCTGGGTTTTTAATGCCTGTCATCATTAAGATATTGCCTGAGGAAAGTTGGGGAGCTTCTTAACTGACATGATGCTTGTCTTCAAGCATGTGTTCTCACTTTCCTTTCCTCCCTCTTGCTGTTTTTTCTCTCTTCCTCTTTTGTCTTCTTCCTGTCCAGTCATGTTCAGCATTCCCACCATCTCTTTTCTTCTCCCTGTTCTTCAGAATAGGCTTGATAGAATGCATAAGGGATGTCCACTTGCTTTTGCTGTAGGTCTGTAGAGCAGGAAGGGCTGTAACTGCCATTCCCCCAGGCCCTGGTGTGTGTGGAGCAAGGACAGAAGGAATAGCTGGGTCAGAGGTGGGGCTGTGTTATCTGTATCTGTACTTGTGTTTAATACGAGCATTTATTTCAGCAGGTATCAGAGCTCCCTTGAGCACAGCCCCTCAGGGTGGCTGTGTTGAAGCCAGTTCAGAAAGAATCATTCAGCAGTCAGATTTACAGGATGAAAGCTTAATCCTTAGAGGAGGACAGCTAGGGACCCTGGAATCTATTCCCCACAGGTAAAGGGAGGGAAAGCACAGGGCTGCCTAAAGCCAGGAATGAAAGTGATGATGTGAGTCCCGCCATGTCTTGATACCCCGTTGAAGAGAGTTGCAGAAATGCTGACACACCTCATTCCCAGGAACTGCTTCTCCTTGTGTCCATTCTTTGCCAGTATTTATATCTGTGCATGGATAATGTTGTCAAAGTGTATATGTGTGTGTGTGTGCCACAAAGGAGATTTGGAATCGGCCTAATCAAAAAAGATGTGACACCCTGTTTTTAGGCAGGTTCAGTTTCTGAACTATTTGCTTGGTTTTGACAGAAAAGCATAACCTGTACTGATCCCCAGTGAGGGCTGGTTCTGTGGGCTTGCTTGGTAGGGCCTGTACTTAATCCTAAAATAGTTTTTGTAGCTTCACAACCCCATGACAAGATTATTCCATAGTGCAAGCTTTCCAAATTGGAAGGCAGAAAGACAGGCACTGTTCTCTCTTTCTGTTTTCCACCTATAACAAAGGCTTCAGATTTCAGATTTTCTCTGGGAATTGAGAGAAATCCAGAGAATGCAAAACAACAAAAATTCATGCCATTTTCCATATGTTATACAACTTCCATAATGTTACATAAAAATGAACACAATAAACATAGACATTATGGGCTTCCTTTAATTTACTGATCTGCAAGACAGAGCAGGAGCAGAAGCCCCATTTTGTGACCCTTCTGCTTGACACAGCATTTGTGCCAGCATGACACTGTCAGTATGTCAAAAAGGCAGGTAGAAAAAGCTTGATTCCCATTTTAAAAGTGAGGAAGAAGAGGCACAGAAGGCTTTGTGGCTTGTTAAAGAACAAGTAAATGAAGTGATTCACTGGAGATAAAGACTGGTGAGACTTTGGCCCCAGTTCCCTGCTGAAAACATTTCTGCCTTTTACCCGTTTCCCACTTGGCCTGGTGCCTTGTTCACATTCATGCCAGACTCCTTGCTCTGAATTGCTGGGGAGAACCCAGGTCAGGCACTGTAAACCTGTTTTAGGTTTGCAATGTTTTAAAACCTATGTTTTAGGATTCAGAGTTTTAAAGAGTGGCTAAAGATCATGAAAGATCAGCAAGCCTTGCTGGCAATATTTTGGCTGGATTTAAAATTGCATGTTCTGACTCTGGAGTGAGCTCATGTTTATTTTTAAAATATGTTCTGCCAGTAGAAGAAATCTATGGTGAATGTCTCCTTGTTGGGTATGTCAGTGTAGCAGGCATCCACACACCCTTTATCATGTTCCTGTGAGGGGCAGGACTTGCTGCTTTGTTGGCACCTTTTGGTGAGGACATAGTTACTTGAACCCTATTTGTAAATCCTCTTTAGTGGCCTGGCCCAGCTCCCCCCAAAACCTTGACCTCCTCAAAATTCCATGAATGCTATAGAACATCAATCTTTTTCAGAAGTGAGTGATACTTAGGCTGCAATTTCATTCTGCAGTTTCTCTCTAGGGAGCCAGGAGAGCTCATGTGGGTAGTCTTGGGCAAGATCACTGCTCAGTCAGTGAGGACCACTCAGAGCCCTCCAACAGAGGCAGGGATTAGAGAAGAGTATTGTTACCAGAGTCCTCTTGAGCAATGAGCACCACTCCTCTGGGAACTCATGGGGGCAACAGATCAAACTGTGAGGCAAATGGGTGTTGCTGTCCTGGAAGGACAGGGCAGTGGTGTTATCCTGGTTTTAGACGTAAGAGTAACACAAAGAGAAGGAAATTATTTAGCCAAGATCACCTATTTGGAATGGACTTGGTGTTATGCTCTCCTTGCTTCCTGAGCACTGGGATAGAGCTACAAGTCAGCCAAAGGACCCTTAGTCTGGTTGTCTCATTTTTAAAGATGCTCACCTGGAAAGGACATGGCCTCAAAGCTTATCAGAACAATTCCTGTTGATTTCTTTCATGGGCTTTTTACAGCCACTCCTACGCACTTGGGCTGTGTCCAAACCTCTTCTGCTCTACAGGGCTGTGAGGTGGGAGTGTGAGAGGGAGCCAGGCTGGAAGCTGACTGTCTCCATCTGCTTCTGCTGCCTGAGAGGAGGGTTTGATCCAGATAGCAGACTGGAAGTCCCTGTGGGACACCAAGCAGATGCTCCCCTTTACGGATAGTGATGGCGTATCCTCTTCACTCTGCAACTTGGGACAGGTGGAACATAGCCCAGCTAATGGTTCTTTTGCAGAATGGAAATCTCATGCCTTCCATTTCAGAAAGAAAAGCACACTGAGCTCTATGGAGCAAGGCATTCTGTATTTATGAGCCAGCATATTGATTAAGAAAATGTCAGTGCCGAGATGTTCATGGCAGCTTACAGCTTCTGCCTGCATTTCTGGGATTCCAGCTCAGAGTGCTGGGATTCCTCCTGATGTTAGGCTCTCCCCTCTGGACAACCCAGCATCCTGACAGCAGCATGCAGCAAGTCCCAAACCTACCAACAGAGGCTACTTTTTGGTGTGTTGCATAACTGAAATGCAGAACTCGTTGCTAAGGGCACTGTGCATGTTGGTGTAAGTGGGCTGTGAAAAAGCATGAGACAAATTCTTGAGAGGGTGGGAGAGGGAATTGAGCCCATTTGTCATTAGGAAATGTGACTCTGAATGCAGTCTCCAGCAGAGGAGCCCCAAGGCTGGTTGCTGGAACCTGGGGAGCATTCCAAGGGAGGGTGACTTGGCACTTATCCTGTTGGTTCTTTTTTCCTGTACTCTGCTAGTGAGCACCTCTTGTCTGGGCCTCTATGGACACTCACCTATGGCACCTTGGGCAATGCCTGCTGGTGGTACAGGGAGTGTTGTTGCATTAGAGAGACTGTTGAGTTGTGATGATGGGGGAGAACATCCCACTGTCTGCTACTTGACCCAGTGCCCACAGACTGATCTGTTTTGAGAGGCTGGCAGAGCCTCCAGGGGAGTGTGGATGGGGAAGTCGCATCCCCAGACCTCACTGGTGGCCTTGGAAAGCTGTAGCAGAAGTGTAGCCAATGTTGTGTCTATGTCTAAAGCCACATATTTTGACTCTTAAGGTCTCTGCTTTTAAAACATGTTCCAGGAGTGAGACATTTTGGTAGACACCTCTTTGTTTATGGAGAGTGTTTTGGGGCAGAAGGAAAATTGAAAACTGAGATGTGATTCCCTATATGTTGCTCCTGGTCAGAGCAGTCTTCCCACTGCAGAATGTGCATTTTCAGACCATAAGAATTTTGAGAAATGGTGCAGGTGTGTAGACAACAGAATGCTGTCAAATGAATGGTCTTGCTAACAGCCCCTCTTGTCCTGCTGCAAAACATTACAGTAAGTGGCAAATAGAGCATAAATACAAATGCACCTGGATATAATATTTTTTTTTCCAGTTCCTCTCAGACTGTGTTTGGCAAGCCTCAAAGCCCACATGTTTCTGCAGCCTATGTGGAAGAAAGCCAAGCCCTGGGACAAAGCCAGGTAAGAACACACCTAAAGTTCAGAGAAAGGAGCTCTGTACACATGATCCCCTGCAGCTCTCTCAGAGAAGATGTGAATTCTCATATCATATTCAGTATCAAACATGTTTGATCTAAGCATAGCTTCTGAGTTATAGTTCAGAGCAAGCTAGGCATTCCCTGGGTGCTGTCCAACAGATAGTGGAAGGAAAGGTGGTTTTGTTATTTTTTTTTTCCCTACTTGAATTGCTTATCAGACCCTAATTTTACTAAATGTGTCATTGAAATGGTGGCCAAAAGAGCCAGTGCAGATCCAAAGTGTAGTTTAAATTTTCAGTAATGGAGTGCTCACCTATAGAACAATCACACAAAGATGGCTGCTTGAGGTCCTCCCCCCTAAACTGTTTTGCACAATTTGATTCTGTTCCCTCAGACCTCTTAAAATGTTTAGTGTAATTTTCATTTGTAAGTCTGTTTTATGGTTGAGGAAAAGGGATTCTGCACTGTTCTGGGATGGCTGATAGCAGTATTCAGAACAGTGTGAGTATTGGCTGGGATAAAGAAGGTAGTTCCGTGCTGTGGGTGCAGTCTGTGTGCCTTCTGATGGGGACTTCAAGGCAGTAGAGAATACAAGTTAGGAATCTTGTGCTTTCAAGGGGATGGGAGCACAGGTCTGAATTGTTACCTAAAAACAGGACCCAAGAAAACCTTGTCTAAGGTGTACATTGATATATTTTTTGGCTTCATGTGTGTTGGTCAAAGAGTCAGTCAGTGTTCACTGCTGTTTCCCTTGCAGTGTGAGCTGCTGGGGAAAACCTTTTCAAAAGAGATTACAAAAAGCAGGACCCATATCTGCTGGCCTCATTATGAGAAGTGGCTGCAGCTCTGAGGGCAGTAACAGAACCTCTTTTGAGCCTCTGAAAGCATCAATATAAAGATCTGTATCTTGGAAAGTGGCCTTTTTACCAGCCATAATGTAAGCCAGACGAGAAGGAAAGCTTTGGGCATTAATAATGAATGAGCCTTTTCTAAGATTCCCAGAGCAGGTCGTCTCTAGCTAGTCTTCATCTTGCTGTTCTGCATTCTTGCACTGATTTTGCAGTGGTGAAGAAACATGACACTCAATACACTATGGGCTGGGGAGCAAGAATACTGAGTGATGCTTGTAGATGTCAAATGAGACATCTTCAAATCTTTGTAATAATTACTCAGTTCAGGAATTCAGAAAAGCAATTTTGCATATTTTAGTGTGTGCCTTAGGAAGAGTGTGAATGGGTAAATGATTTTACAGCATTTCTACAGACTTCCTGGGCACTTTGCTTCTTGCTGAATCAACTTACTCTCGGCTTGTGGCAAGAATATGCAGATATTTGGTTCCTATGTCTGAATCACAGAGGTGCAGATAAGAACTTTGTTTTGTGCACATGACTCAGTTTGCTTTTTGTTGGTCATGCATCCTGTTAGAACCAAAATGAGTATAAAATAAAAGCAATTTATTAATTTTGGGGATATTTCTTTCTCTCCCTGAGCAGAGCTCCCTTGCTCAGGACATAATTTCCTTAATTTTTAATTCCTGTCTTACCCTCTGTCAGTTGCTGGCTTTTATAGGAGCTAAAGCCTAGGGCAGAGGGAAGGGAATGGCTCTGCTCTGAATTCCTGGGAGATGGATTGTGCACGGATTGTGCTCATCACTTCCACACACCCACTGATGGATTACTCTACCTGAACTTGGAGGGGAGGAAGGCCTTTGTCACTTCATGCACACAGCCCTGACCAGTGACATTTCCTCCCATCACACACCTTGTGCTGCTGTCTGCCCAAAGGAGCTCTTCGACAAAAAGCAACTGTGTTAAAAATCATATCTAGTGAGGCTTTTCTACCTTCCTGTGTCTTTCAGGTTCTGGAGGATCCAGCTGTTGACTCACTAGATCTGTTCCAGGCAGCATGCCTGCTCTATGAAATTTCTAGCAGTAAAAAACGTGAACCGATGTGACCTGCCTGCAGATACAATCCATGTGTCTGTGCTTCCCTGGGAAACACCTCATTCCTTCCTTTTTTTTTTTGATGGAAGAGGAGTTTAACAGGGAGATTGAATAGTGTGAGGGAGAAGGATGGAGGTGTTTCCAATAGTTACAAAAGTTGGTTTGGTTACAGTTTTATTAAGAATTTTAGGATAGAAGAAAGCAAAAGTGCACTGTGGACTGTAGGTTTTTGCTGGAGTGGTCTGAAGCTGCACTGTAGATGTTAAAATTATCAAGGCGCTGGTTCTGTGGCAGTAACATAGATCTGATCATGGCACTGGCCAGATCCGAGTCCTTGGTTGCGTCGTGAAGGTAAATGAAGCTCCTGTGCTCAAAGGAGTAAAATTTGGTTATATTGCCTTGCAGTGGATATTGGGACAACCTTTTCTCAGGCTTGGAAAATAAGGTCTCATGTTAATGTATTTCTTTTCCCTGCCCTCCTGTTGTACTGTAGGGTGTAACTTCTGGAGTGTTCCATACTCTGTAGTGCCACAGGTGACACAAATGAGCACAGCAGAATTTTCAGTGCTAGGGCATGCCATTGTTTTGCTGTTTTAATACAAGAAGTAGCAAGGCAGGCCCTTCCTGCAGCTTTAAAACTAATTCTGCAAGTTAGGGTGGGTTTTTGGGTTTTTTCCTGAAGTGTTACTGTTTTTAAAAAATTCTGTATATTGCAAAAGGGGTCCCCTTTGCCAAATCTCCAGCCCGGAGATACAGGGAGAAGATGCCTCCTTTACCTTGTTACGAAGTTTTCAAATAAAGATTTTCACTTACTGTTTCTCCAGGGTTCATTTTTTTCAAGGTAAGGGTGAGAAGTGATAATTTTCACATGGTAATTATGTATTAAAAACGCAGGACCAGCTGCCCTGGGAACACTTGTGCGTGCTGAGAGCCTGAAGCCTCCACTATTTTGGAGGATCTCACTAAGAAATGCCCCTTTCTTGTTTGTGTTGGGAACAGAGGTGCTTGGCGGGTCACACACGTTATCGTTTATTGCCGTCAAGAGCGGGGCCATCACTGAATCCGGGCATTTGTACAGGGAGCAAAGATGCCAGGCTCGTAGGGCCCGCACGACCCCCCGTGAGGTGAGGGACGAGCCCGCCCTGCCCTCACAGCCGCGGCCACCGCCCGCCCGCTCTCCTCCGCTCGGGGCTGTTCCCGCCGCCCGCCGCCGCCTCCCCATTGGTCCGCGGCCGCCAGCAACAGCGCCAGATATATCCTGCCGCGCCCTGATTGGCTGCCGCCTCCCGCCGAGCCATAGCAACAGCGGGGCGCGCGGGCCGGGGGGGGCTGAGGCTGAGGGAGCGGCGGGACCCTG